ATGCAGGAAGTATGGCTCATGAGCGAGATCTTGATGCTTGCCGTCACAACCGACTACTCCACATTCAAGAGACAGATTCGCGGCAACAAGCTCCGGCTCCGCTTAGAGCCGCTGCCAATCAGGAGTGTCCTGCAATTCAATCGTGAATAAGGCCCTCATTGTGCATGTACCGGCAGTCTTTGCAGTATGGGGTAAGAGCTACGGTATAGGGACGGCACGGCACAGCCCAGGTTGTCCGATGGCCCGACGTGTGTGAATGCGAAGAGCACGTGCACATCGTGGCTTCGCGCCTCGATGCGACCTGAACGACCGGGGCCAGCCAGCCAGCAAGTCGACGGCCATAAGCAGGTGCAGGACCCCTCAACCAAAGAGTCAAAAGTAATATAAGCCGGAAGAGTCAAGAGTGATTCGCCGTCACCTTAGCTCGATATGGCATTCTGCGGTTGATGTGTCTCGGGCGCCAGGTACCGAGGACATGAACATCAACAGGAAGTCTTTTGGCGAAAGCGCTTGTCTTAGGCCCCCCAGCCTTGCTGCACCCTGCCTATACTGCACCTCAGGATCATCAGTCTTGTCCGAGCTGCACCCCAGGTCGGTAGATCTTTGCATTCGTGATTGCTGGTTGCCTGACGCGCTGCATCCATTGGGACGTTTCTTGGCTAGCAGTGCCAGTAGTATCTCAGCAGCTCGCTGTTGCTCTCCACTGCTTCAATTGGATTGTCATTCGCTCGCGCCGTCCATACGAGTCTTGGGTATCATTGATCTTGGGGCTTGTTGATCCCATCCACATTTGTGGAGTAGTGAAGAAGTATAGACCCGCGAAGCCATCCACGGCGAATCCTTTCAAAGTCCGCAGCCAAGTCAGCTCGGCATGATCCCAAACCATTGCGCATGCACGATCAGGAGGCAATGACGAAAAGCCACCTAGCCGGCGGTCTGGGCTCTTGCTTGGCTCTCCGCGTCTTCATCGTTGAGGGGAGCGAGGCGACGCGGAGCCGCTGGACGAACATGGACGCCATCTTCTTCATCGTCAAAGAGGTGTGAAGAAGCTCCACTCAGATCACGCAGTGCGTTCATTAACGATGCCTCTGTGGATGCTGGGCTGAGGGACATCTATCTCAAAGACACCCATTTCCCACATCGGCTCAGTCAAGAACTGCTGATATTTGGCCCTTGGCAGCGTGGCAGCAGGCAGAGGCTTCGGTGGACCAGCTGCTGAGGCAAGCCACCCATGTAAGTACTGTATGCATAGCCCAGCCGGGAGTGACTCTGGGCGACGGTCACTGAACGCATGTGTCAATGCGGTCCTAAGCATACCTCTGGCCGGCTAGGCAGGGACGGACAGCGAGAGCGGAAGAAAAGAAGATGTCATGACTTGAAAGCCACTCTGGCCGTCTTGGGTGTTGACTGATGAGCGTACTTGAGATTACCCAGCCATGCAATCGACAGCATGGTCGTCTTTCAACTCGCTCACAGTACCAGCAATGTACATTGGCAAGTGCTCTGCATGGTATATGGAGTCTTGAGTCGACAGGTTCAGGAGAGTCACAGCGGCACGTGATTGATCTAGATGCCATTAAGAGGCGCAG